AGTACATTTCTTATCAAGCATTGTTGCCTCCTCCTTTGTTTCCCCATACCATCCCTTCCCATCTTCCCCTACCTCCAAATTTCTTTATTATTTTTTAAATTTAAATTTTATTGTAAAGTGGTGTACAGAGGGGTTACAGTTATATAAGTAAGGTAATGAGTACCTTTATTTTAGAAAAGTGTTACCCCCTCCCTCATTTTCTCCCAATATTTTATTTTATGTTATTCTTTTGGGGGGGTCTGGTCATGGGGCCTGAACTCTGGGCCTGAGCACTGTCACCTGTCTAATTTTTGAGGGAAACATATTGCTGTGTGTTTATTCATAAATTTTGTGTGGTTTGTGCCACACATCTGGGTCCAGAATCTGGAGATTTAAATCTCCTATCTCCTTTTAGTTGGTGGTTTCTTGTAGTTTCCTTAAAATGGGTGATGGCTATGTGGTGGTATATCAACTGGAAGGATGAATCAGATAGTCAGTTTCAGAACTACATTGCAACACTATTTCAAAGGCTTCTTCCTGTATGTGGAACTCTTCTCAGTTGGGTGAGGAAATTTGTTTTCAAAGGTTATTAGTAAATCATGGTATTGTGTTTGTGGCAAACTCTTAATTGAGACCAGTCACCACCACTGCTTCAAATTTTTTAGAATAATGTGAGATCCAAGGTGTATCTTTATTCTCTAGGAAGATTTTGTTGTTGGTGGTGGTGGTCGTGGGGCTTAAACTTAGGGCCTGGGCACTATCCCCAAGTTTTTTCACTGAAGGCTAGCCACTCTACCACTTCGAGCCACAGTGTCACTTCTGGTTTTTAGGTGGTTAATTGGAGATGTCTCAGACTTCTCTGCCTGGGCTTGGCTTTGAACTGTGATCCTCACCTCTTAGCTTCCTGAGTAGCTAGGATTATAGGGGTGAGCCACCCATCTTTTCTAGGAAGATTTTTCTTAACCAGGGTGATAGGAAGAGATACAGCTGACTTCTCCCATTTTTCACATTGAACGTGACCTTTTCTTTTTAGAGCTTCTGCACAGCTATAGAGCATAGGATTGGAGAAGGTTAATTTAAAACTCCAAAACTTTTTGTTTTGTTTTTTAAATTAAGTTTAGCTGTTTTTCGTGAATTGTTGGAAGCTTTTTGTTTTCTCTCCTATCCTTTTGACAGTCTTGATAAGTGACCAAAGCTAGATTCAAACTCAAGATCCTTGTGCTGGTACAACATATGTACATCACCATTTCTGAGTTTGGCTATTTTCAAGGATTCTAAAAAAGTTCATCTTTACTTTTTTTTTTTTTTTTTGGTGCCAATCCTAGGGCTTCAGCTCAGGGCCTGGACAATGTCCCTCAGCTTTTTTGCTCAAGTAGTCTTATTGTTTGAGGCATAGCTTCACTTCTGGGTTTTGTTTTTTTTATATTGGAGATAAGAGTCTGCTTAGATCTCAGCCTTCTGAGTAGGATTGCAGGCATGAGCCATCGGTGCCTGGACATCTTTATAATTTTTGGCAAATTTCTCATTGCTTTTTTAGTAGGTAACTTTTTTTGGGGGGGGGTCGCACCAGTCCTGGGGCTTGAAACTTCAGGACTGTTCCTGGGTCTCTTTGTGCTTAAGGCTAGCACTCTACCATTTGAGCCACAGGGCCACTTCTGGCTTTTTCTGAGTAGTTTATTAGAGATAAGAGTCTCTCACAGACTTTCTTGCCTGCACTGGCTTTGAACTACAGTCCTCAGATCTCAGCCTACTAAGTAGCTGGGATTACAGGCATGAGCCACCGGTGCCCAGCTAGCAAAGAACTTTGGAGGGCTCACCAAAGATACTCACTACAATAGTATTCATAATTGCAAACATGTGGGAAGCTGGATTGGGGATTTGGCTCAGTGGTAGAGTGCTTGCCTGGTATACTTGAGTCCCTGAGTTTGGTCCCTAACAGCACCAAAATAAGAAACAAAAGAGAAGCACCCTAAATGCTCCAAAATAATTAAATCATTAAAAAAAAAGCTCATCTATATGAATATGATAGAATATGTATTTATCATATATATGATAGAATATTGTGTTAATGGGGCTGGGAATGTGGCTTAGTGGGGTTGACTCCTCAGTACCACAGAAACAGAAAAAGCCAGAAGTGACGCTGTGCTTAAGTGGTAGATTGTTAGCTTTTAGTAAAAAGAAGCTCAGGGACAGTGCCCAGGCTCTGAGTTCAAGCCCCAGGACCAGCACAGAAAAGAAAAATCTTTACATTTATGATCATTATGATTAACACAGTATTCTTTTTGGGGGGAGGGCATCCTGGGGCTTGAACTTAGGGCCTGGGCACTGTCAAGCTCAGGGTTAGCACTTTACTTCTTGAGCCACTGTTCCACTTCTGGTTTTTTTTGTTAGTTAATTGGAGAGAAGGGTCTCAGAGGCTTTCCTGCCCAGCCTGGCTTTGAGCTGCAATTCTCGATTTCAGCTTCCCAGTTAGCTAGGATTATAGACATGAGCCACTGTTGCTTGGCTTAAAAGTATTTTTTTTTTGTAAGGAAATGAAAACATGGATAAAGCAGAAAACTATTATAAGGAACTACATCAGAATGCTGTTATTTCTAGGTGAGAAGATAATATTTAAACTATGTGAGTAAAAAGAAAAATATACTACCTTTTCATTTTTGATGCTGTACAGAATGGCCTTATTAGTTTATTGCTATTAAAAAAAATCAGTATTCCATGTTAGGCATGTAGCTCAGTGGTCAAGTGCTTGCCTAGCTTGTGAAAGAAGGGCTCTGGATTCCATCCCCAGCACTTCAGAACAAAAAAGAAAAACAATGGATGTAACATGCATTCCCATGAGTTGACTTAAAAATTATAATACTTCAGTTTTGATAGTGTAACATAGTCTCATATATGTTTGAAGGATTCCTCAAAGATCATGCTTTTATAACTGCATCACTAGGGATAGTAAATTATAAATGAGTTACTTTATACTTAGGAGTATGCTCTATAGAAAGAAGCTTTGTTTCTTTGGGAGTTTAACAGGGTGAAGTATTAGATGAATTAGTTTCATTTATTAGCATGTCTTTCTTTTTTTTTCAGGCACATATTAAATTTCCTATTGACTATCCATATTCACCACCTACCTTCAGATTCTTGACCAAAATGTGGCACCCCAACATTTATGAGGTAAGCAATGTAATCATAAATTTGTGTGTAGATTTATTTTCCTGGTTAATTCTTAAAATAGACTGGGACTGGGAATGGAGCTCAGTGATAGTATTCAGTTAGCATACAAAACACCCTGAGTTCCATCCCCCACACCACACATGTACGCAGTTGTTCTTTTAAAGCTCTCTGTATGTCATTATGTACTATAGCCATACAGAAGTGTTCATGATTTTTGTACATTCAGTTAATAGTCTCTAAGTTTAATTATCTAAAATTGAAGTGGATTTATAATACCTAGAATGTATTGTCTAATTATTGAGGCTTTAAACCTATTACCTTATTGCTGAGATTACAGTACACATGTGTTAATGTAGGCATCTAAATATTTAATAAAGGCATATAAATTTATTTGTGTACCTATCCTCTAACTTCACAGCCAGGGTCACCTGTTGATCAGAGATTCAGCTTTTTGGGGGGATTTATTCTACATTTGGACTGGCCTCCTTTCAGGAGTTACTGCTGAACATTTGAAAGCCTTTTTTGGAATAAATCCAAGGTGAGGTTCTTCTGAACAAATCAACATGCCTGCAGAAACTAGCATTACCTTAGGTGATTGAAACATACTAGCTTCAGGCTAAGTTATAACATTGCAAGAATAATGTACTAGCATAATGGAGCAGCTTTTAAGTTTCACACATGTGCTTTTTCTGTAATTCCTGACTTTTTTTCTGTTCTTTCCTTTGCCCTCTTTCCGACTCTTTCTTGTGTGACAGGATTTCATACTGTATCTCAGGCTAGCCTTGAATTGGGGCTCTTCTAGTCTAAGCCTCATATCTGCTGTGATTTCTTTTTTTCAAATAGGTCATACTAGTACTGAAAAGGTAATACAGTTTTCCTTTCCAGAAATAGTAAGTTCCTAGGGTATTAGTGGTTTGATTTTGTTTTGGAATTTAAAATAATAAACATTAGAGAAAATACAATTCTGTATAACAAAGTTTACCCAATTGTAGGAGAGGTATGTAGAACTAATTTATTATTTCTTAAGATTAAACTGTCAATAGTCTCAGAAGAATACTTGGTATCTTAGGTTCACTGTGTTGCTATAGCAAAATACCCTAGTTTGAGTAGTTAATGAGCAATTAAATTATATTGCTTATATTGGTGCTGAGAGTTGGGAAGACTAAGAACAAAGTGCCAGCAGATTTAGTGACTCCTGAGAATTTTTGTTCTATTGAGATAATGCCTTGATGCTTTATCACATTGCTGAAGAGGTATAGCAGCTTTCTTTTGCATCTTTTTTGTTGTTCTTGTTAGTCCTGGGGCTTGAACTCATGGTCTGGGTGCTGAGCTTTTTTGCTCAAGGTTAGGACTCTACCACTTGAGCCACAGCTCCACTTTTTGGTGGTTAATTGGAAATAAAGGTTTCACAGACTTTCCTGCCCAGGTTGGCTTTGAACCTTAATCCTCAGATTTTAGCTTCCTACTGAGTAGGCAGAATTACAGGTGTTAGCCACCAGCACCTAGTGCTGGCTTCAAACTGCAGTCCTCACATCTCAGCATCCTGAGTAGCAAGGATTATAGCTGTGAGCCACTAGCACTTAACTTTTGCAGGTTTTTGTTGTTGTTGTTGTTTTGCCTGCCCCAGGGTTTGAACTCAGGGCCTGGATTCTCTCTTTGAGCCTCTTTTTGTTCAAGGCTAGCACTCTACCACTTGAACCATAGTGCCATTTCCAGCCTTAATAACTTATTGAAGAGTTCACAGACTCTTGTCCGGGCTAGTTTCAAACCATGATCCTCAGATCTCAGCCTCCTGAGTAGCTAGAATTACAGATGTGAGTTACTGGCACCTGGCTTTTTTTTTACATCTTTTATAAGGGCACCAATCCTAATAATGAATATATAGTGTGAAGACCCCACTTTTTTGTATGTGTGTGTGTTCTACTTCCTTGTTTTTGGTGGTTAATTGGATAAGTCTCAGAGACTTGTCTCTCTGAGCTTGGCTTACCCCACTTACCATGATTTGTTCTATATCCATCCATTTCCCTGCAGATGACACAATACTCTTTCTAATGGCTGTGTGAAATTCCATTTATAAATACTGCAGTTTTTGAATCATCTATTGTAGGACAGAATTGAATTTTTTTTTTTACTCCAGTCGTAGGGCTTGAACTCTGGGCCTGGTTCCTCAGCTCTTCAGCTCAGGCGAGCACTCTACCACTTGAGCCACAGCACCACTTCTGGTTTTCTGGTGGTTTATTGGAGATAAGAGTCTTACGGACATTCCTGCCCAGGCTGGCTTTGAACCGGGATCCTCAGCTCTCAGTCTCCCAAGTAGCTAGGATTACAGGTGTGAGCCACTGGCGCCCGGCAAACCTGAGAGACTCTTAACTCCAATTAACTAGTAAAAAGCTGGTACCTAGGGAAGGATGCCTGAATTGGTTTGCTTCTTATTCCCTACGCAGAGAAGGATGTATGCTAAAGCACATAGAGTAGGAACCTCTAAATAATACTGAAGTGCTACATACACCTGGCTATTAGCCAACAGAGGGAAGGATTATGTTTGTTTTATGGTCGTTGTACATAACTTTTATTTTTTAAATTGATTATTTTGGATTGAATTCAGAGCCTTGGGCTTACTTGAGCAAGTTCTCTGACACATGAGCCAATGATTTTATTTTTTGTGCTGGTGTACTGGTGCTTGAACTCAGAGTCTTATGCTTTTTGATGGTTAATTGGGAATAAGAGTCCCATGGCCTTTCCTGGTTGGCTTCAAACCATGATCCTCAAATTTTAGCCTCCTTAAGTAGCTGGGATTACAGGTGTGAGTCACTGGCTTCTGGCTGCTCTACTTTTTTTTTTTTTTTTTGCCTGTCATGGGGCCTGAACTCTGGGCCTGGGCACTGTCCCTCAGCTCTTCAGCTCAAGGCTAGTGCTGTAACACTTGAGCCACAGCGCCACTTCTGGTTTTTTTTGCTTATGTGGTGCTGAGGAATTGAACCCAGGGCCTCATGCATGCAAGGCAAGCGCTCTACCACTGAGACACCTTCCCAGCCCCATGTTATTTCTTAAGTGTGTTAGGAAGTATTGATCATATTCTAAATCCTAGATGTGAACTTTACATTAATTTAAAAATTACTTTTCAGCTAGGTGCCCGTGGCTTATGCCCATAATTTTAGCTACTCAGGGGGCTGAGACCTGATCTTAGTGCAAAGCCAGCTCTAGAAAAGTCTGTGGGACTCTTATCTTCAAAAAGACAGAGGTGGAGATATGGATCAGTTGGTAGAGCCACCAACCTTGAGCAACAAAGCTGAAATACTGGTCCTGAGTTGAAGCCCCAGTACCTCTCCCACCCCAAGCCCAACGGCCCCAAAAAGATTTTTTTTTTCAACTCAGGGAATATATAATAAAAGTTAACTTATGGAAGTTCTGTATATAGCTCAATAGTAGAGCATCTGTCTGGAATGTACAAACAAGGGTGTGGGTTTGATCTCTTATAGTTAGCATTAGGATTTGAATTTAAAGCTTGCTTGCTTAGTTGCCACTGTTATTTGAACCATGTTCTAACCCTACTTTTTGCTGGTAATTTTTGAGATTAAGTCTCAGACTGTTCTTTGAACCTTTATCCTTTGGATCTCAGCCTACTGGGCATCTATTACAGAAGCCACTAGCACCTGGCTAAAAGTAACAGTTTTGATACAGTGTCTTGAGGTACCTTGAAAATACTAGCAGGGGGGCTGGGAAGGTGGCTCAGTGATAGAGTGCTTGCCTTTCATGCATGAGGCCCAGGGTTCAGTTTCTCAGAAAAAGCTGGAAGTGGTGCTGTGGCTCAAGTGGTAGAGTGCTAGCCTTGAGCTGAAGAGCTGAGGGACAGTGCCCAGACCCAGAGTTCAAGCCCCACAACCAACAACAACAACAAAAATACTAGCAGGAAGATTCAATTAGATTTGCTGCTTTTTTGTTTTTGTTTTATTGTCAGTCATGGGGCTTGAACTCTGGGCCTGGGCGCTGTCCCTCTGCTCTTCAGCTCAAGACTAGCACTCTACCACTTGAGCCACAGTACCACTTCATAAATTAGATTTTGAAGAGTAGCTGGTTGTCATTATCACAAAATAGTGCTTTTTCAGAAGATGTCTTAACTTGGAATTGTAGCCAGAGGTTAATGAAAATGTAAAGATGATTACTAGAGCAATTTTGTTTAGCTTTAGTTGCTTGAAAAGTAATGTTAATGTTAATGTGTTGTATGTATTTTTATTTCACTGGGGATTGAATCCAGGGTCTCATTCATGCTTTACCACAGAGTTATACCTCCAGCCTTTATATATATAGTATGTTTGTTTTTTGGAGAAAGGGTGTATATAGGCTGCCCTGGAATTTGGAATCCTTCCTACTTCAGCCTCAAGTAGCTGAGATTGTATGCATGCACCACTCCACTGAGCTTAGTTAGATACATTGAATTTCTAATTAGAATTATTGTATTATATTGTGAGATTATGACAGATTATAGTCTTTTTTTTTATGCTGGTAATGACTTGAATTCAGGGACTCAACTCTTGCTTAGCTTTTTCTGTTCAAGGCTGGTGCTCTAGCACTAGAGCTATACTTCCCCTTCTGTTGCTTTTGGCTGCCTAATTAGGGATAAGAGTCACTTGGATTTGTTTACCCAGGCTCACTTCAAAATGCAATCTTCAGATGTCAGCCTCTTAAGTAGCTAGGATTACAAGTATATGTATGAGCCACTGGTGCCAGGCTAATAGTGTATTTACTTTACATTTGGGTTTGTGGAAGAGTTCATTTGTTTTAATCTTGTAATTGCTTTTTTTTTTGAATGAAGATCTTAACTTGATTCTGGTCTGGAATTCCCTATATAGCGAAGTCTGTCCTTGATCTTGTGATTCTCAGTTTCTCTAGTGATAAAATTATTGCTACCGCATATGCCACCACAATTAGCTAATGCCCCACTTTTAATTTTTAAAAACAATAGGTAGCCCTCATGTGAATAGTGAAAAATTTATGTCTTG